TTCTAACGGGGGTTTGCTATGGAAAAACTGCCTGTGAGTTCCCCGAGACGAGAAAATCCTAATGAAGCCCACAATACATTTTGCATGTTCCACCTAGGAAGTACGAAAATGTATCAAGATCTACAAGGATGCTATTGGTGGTCAGGAATGAAGAACATAGAGAATTTCGTAAGACGATGCTTGACCTGCCAACAAGTGAAGGCCCCGAGACAACGTCCAGCAAGATTGCTATAGCCCTTAAATGGGAAGCAGTGTGTGTGGGTTCTATCTCGAGTTGGCCAAAGATCAAACAGAGTTTTAATGTGATCTGGGTAGTGGGGAACAGACCAAACAAGGCAACTTAATCCATTCTAGGTGAGACCACATATCGAGTAGATTGATAAGCTCAGTTATATGTCAGAAAGATAGTGTGTCTGAAGAGATGCCACTCTCTATTGTGTCTGACAATGACATAAGGCGCTTGCTCAACAAAGTAGTTTTCATAGTAAAAGTCTCATGGTATAACCACTGTGATGAAGAGGCAACTTGGGAACAAGAAGAAGACATGAAGAGTTTCTATCCCAAGTTCTTTCAAGAGATACCAACTTATATGAACCAAGAGACATCAATCATACAATATGCTTCAATGAAGATGTGGAGAAAAGGTTGTCAAAATTATCAAAAGATGTTTCAATTCATGCTACATTGAAGAAGAATAAAGTTTGATTGTTGTAAATTTTGGGTGGGTTATAATTTAGAGTTATTATGTTTTAAGACTTTTTATTTAATTTCGGTTACATTTACATAATGGCTAATTATGGCCATAAAGTGTGTGTTTTAAGACTTTTTATTTAATTTCGGTTACATTTACATAATGGCTAATTATGGCCATAAAGTGTGAATTTTAAGACTTTTTATTTAATTTCGGTTACATTTACATAATGGCTAATTATGGCCATAAAGTGTGAATGTTACAACTTTTGGAATTTCATTTTGAGGCTATATAAAGCCATCTATGTTGTATTTGTATAAAGACTTAGAAGATATATCAAAAGAAGCATTTGTGCTTTTCTTTAGCCAATGGCTAAGTTTATTTGCAACTCTATGTAGTTTAGGTTGCATGTAGAATCATTCAAGCTCGACATGATCAATCTTGCTTGTGGAGTGATTCGAATCTCAATCAAGTGTTCTTGTCTTGAGATATTTGATCAACAAGAATCATTGAAGCTAGACATGATCGATCTTGCTTCTGGAGTGATTCGAATCTCAAACAAAGTGTTCTTTGCTTGAGATATTCGATCAATAAGGTAATCCGAATCTTATTCCCCTTGTATTGATTCCATATCTTATCATTTGGTATGATACGATAAGGAATCAACTACAAGGGGAATAAGATTCGGATTACCTTATTGATCGAATATCTCAAGCAAAGAACACTTTGTTTGAGATTCGAATCACTCCAGAAGCAAGATCGATCATGTCTAGCTTCAATGATTCTTGTTGATCAAATATCTCAAACACTTGTTTGAGATTCGAATCACTCCACAAGCAAGATTGATCATATCGAGCTTGAATGATTCTACATGCAACCTAAACTACATAGAGTTGCAAAGAAACTTAGCCATTGGCTAAAGAAAAGCACAAATGCTTCTTTTGATATATCTTCTAAGTCTTAATACAAATACAACATAGATGGCTTTATATAGCCTCAAAATGAAATTCCAAAAGTTGTAACATTCACACTTTATGGCCATAATTAGCCATTAGGTAAATGTAACCGAAATTAAATAAAAAGTCTTAAAACACAATAACTCTAAATTATAACCCACCCAAAATTTACAACAATCAAACTTTATTCTTCTTCAATGTAGCATGAATTGAAACATCTTTTGATAATTTTGACAACCTTTTCTCCACATCTTCATTGAAGCATATTGTATGATTGATGTCTCTTGGTTCATATCACCAACTTTTGAGGACAAAAGTTTTTAAGGAGGGAGAATTTGTAAGACTCGAGCCCTGATGGATAGTTTAAAAATCTAATTTTTCTTTTAAGTCGAACTTCTAAAATTTTGTTGAGGGTTTTAGAGACCAAATTTGGAGATGAGACCGTAGAGAAAAATGCTTAGAAACAATAGAGAAAGTTAGGAAAAATATAAAAGAAAAAATGATAGAAAATTAGAAATATGGTCAAAGGCAACCAGTTAGTGACATGATTAAAAGAAAAAGAAAAAAGAGGAAAAGAGGGAAAAAGAAAAGAATAGAAGAGTAATTTGGTCATTATACCCTAATTGAGTTAGTGACATGATTAAAAGAAAAAAGAGGAAAAGAGGGGAAAAGAAAGTTCTAGAGAGTGGGAGGTAACCGCCGCTCCAGCCACAAGGAGTCTGGTTCCGGCCGAGTGTTCTTCATGAAATCTTTACAGAACTTAGTGGAAAACATTCTTGACTCTTAAATCGTCCAAAACCCTCCAAAAACGAAGAAAATCTAAAGGTAAAGTTCTTGAATCTAGATTCTCAAATTTCCTTTAGATCGGTGAGATATAGTAAGAATTAGAATCTGAAATTTGAGTAGGTTAATCTAGGGAGGATTATGCTCAAATCCTGTGAAGGAAGTTGTAGTTGATTCGGATTGGAAGTAGGAGTTCCAGCATTAGTGTATGCATTGATGTTTCTTGTCATTTTTGGATTAAGATAATTATCTCTATCTTTAGAAATAAATTACAAGAAAAATATCTACTCATGAATGGATATGCAATCTACAAATATTGTGAAGGAATCGTGTTAATCCGATTTACGAAAATGGAAAAAGTAATTGTATTTTAGAAACACATGAGGAAGACGATGACTCGGACACGTTTCAGGCAGAGAAGGGGGCCGTGCATCGTCGGAGAAGAAGGGACACGTGTCAAGCATCCATTGGCGAATAAAATCAAAGAAATACTTCACGTCGGATAGGATTCAAAGGCTAGCAGTCTGCTACTCGAGTCCTCGACCCGATGACCAGTGCACAACCCAGACTATTGACCCGACTTCTCGTTGCCACACGTCAGCATAAAAGAATTCAGATTTCCAGCGCGTCCTTCCAGTGTCGAACCAGCAACCTCGACCTCGGCTGACTGTTCAGCGGGCACTACGTGGCAATACCCAAAACGCGCGTGAGGTGCTGTTTTCAGCCCGTTCAACTTCTATTTGCCTGATTTTCCTCCCGATTCCAACTCTAACCCTTTTTTATATGAAATAGGACCTAAATGAGAAAAATTAGTATTTGTGGACACACTATTGGTGTAGAAACACTAAACGAAGAACACGCGTCAATCATGTAAGTCACCACACAGAACTTTAGGAAGAAATACTTGTAAGAGTCGCTTGGTTATGCATGCTAGTTTAATTACCTTAGGTGGTAGCTTTTCGTGATTTGAAAGTAGGTAATTTGATTGTTAAGAGTATGGATGTATTATGAGAATTATCTAAGTGTTGCTATTATGTTTTAAGCTTTCAACTTTATATGTATATGTTTAATTCATGCTGAAAGGAGGATGGGAACTTGTGAACTTTGCGCTCCGCGAGCTTGATGGATGTTATCATCCCATTGAACATGTATGTTTACTTTGCATGAATTATGTATGATGATGCTAGATGATACTTGTGTGCACACTTGGTTAATTTCCATGACCCACATTTATGATAAAGCCTACAGATTTGTGGTTAGAGTGACAATGATAAGCGCCAACAATGCTGGATTTTGCAAGCTTAGGTCCTTCTACAATCCTTGCAAACGTTCACTAAGAAAGCTAACTTAACGAATTGATTCAAACCAAGAGCTGGTTAGAAGATAAATGACTCTTAGATTGAACTTGAAATCTATGATGGTCACTCTTAGATTCCAAGACGACTCACTCCAGAATCAGCTTGGATCAAAACTAATTCAATGAATCGATTTAAACATCAAACCTAAAGCAAGGCTTGAAAAAGAATAACACAAAAAAGGTATCAAGAAAACACAAAGGTTTTGTTTGTATTCAATCATGATGTTCAAGCATGAATATTACATGCCTTTAAATAGGCCAAAAAGATAACCCAAACATAATGAAGTTCATCTACCAACTACAAACTACAACTACTAATAAGAACCAGTAAATACAAATTGAAGAAAATAAGACATACATAAATTGTCTTAATTGGTAGTTCAATTACCAAAAGCAAAGTCTTCTAATCACTTTCAATGTCAGCCATTACATTATTTTCTTGATTTGATATGCTAATGCTATAAAGATTTTTGGGCTCAAAAGTCTTTGCTTCAACTTGTACACTAGCTAGCCTTTGAAGATGCAATGTATAAATCTCTTGAATCTTCTTAACCTTGCTTCTTGTAATTGGTATTTCTGGTACATGCAAAAGATCAGTGGTTGAATTCATATCAGACAAGTCACTAAGTATAGACTTGACCTTTCCCCTAGGAGCCTAACAAACCACCACGGCATACGAACCACCTTTAGAGTACCCTTAGTCTGCATGTGTGTGATTGATGTCAGTTTCGTGGGGGACCAGGGGGTTCCTGATCAGAACCCGACTGCTCTTAACCATTTTAGGATAGAAAACGTGTGCCCACGTCGTATAGACCATTTAGCTGGATGGGTTAAGGGGTACCTCTCCCCAACCAAGGGGACTAACATGGACTTACAGGGTTGTAGCTCACTTCCCAACTAAGAAAATTTTATAGAAGAATGAGAGTTTCAATCCTTTCCACATGAATGAGATTTTCGTTCACAATATGTTGGTCTTTTAATTTTAATGGGTGAGAGTGATTTTGTAATAGATTCAATAAATTTGTTATTTCAGGGACTAACCAAAATGAGAGGTTGTTTGGAAAAGTATATTAATAGTTTCCTTAATAAGCAACAATAAAGCGTTTAAAGAGTTGTGCTTAACATAGATGAGAGGTGTGTAAATGTGGTAAAAGTTGAAGCATATGAGTGATATATGGTTTGTTATTGAAAGCACAAAGAAAAGATAGAATTTTCATGGGTTTTGTCCTGCTAGGAAAGCTGTGAAGAGTGCCAAGGATCTCCCTGGAGAAGTGTAGGGAGCTTGATGAGCTGCTCCTCTAATGGTGGCGAATGATAGAATATTCTTCTCCCCAAATCCTTCTACCCATCCTCCAACCTAAAACACAGTGCAAATTTTTTTAACTCAACCAAATATTTTTTTAAATATTGGTTTTTGAAGTAGAATTTGATTTTATGTTAAATGATTAAAATTAAAAAGTAACATGTATACAATTACCTGTTGTTTGTAAAACCAAGGTGAGTAAGGCAGAGTGTCGTTTAATTTTAAAGCCTTTGCCAACTTATTCACCAGAGTTCGAGTTCCAAGTAACGGAATTACAGCATCTTGATCTCCACTGCCAAAGCGAACGGTTCGTAGAGTTAGTTTAAATCGATATAATTATTAGTCGTAATTATACCAAAATTCATATAAATAAATAAAAAAAAAAAAAAAAACCTGTAAACCAGAACCCTTAGCCCAGAACGCAGGAGTGAACCCACAGTTTGAATGGTGGGTATGAATAAGTCGGTCAAATCATAGTTCAAAACACTGCAACAAATGAGGCAATGAGCAAAGATGATTTAGGAATGAAGAGATGATGATATTGGGAAGAAATGGATACCCACCTGCTACATAGGGACCAACTGGATACTCCAACCAGCCGCGCATGAAGAGCCTCTTGCACATCCGCTCTGTTTAGATATGCATCCACTTCATTTAATATGCACACGTCTATCTTTCCATCCTCCTATAACAAGAAAGTACATTTGTTGTTGAGAATTAATGGAAGAAACTAATTAGGAGGAAGATTATAGGTTTATAAGTAAAGAATACTATCCCTATTGGTACGAGGTCTTTTGGAAAAACAAAAAACAAAGCCATAAGAGCTTATGCTCAAAGTGAACAATATCATACCACTGTGGAGGCTCGTGATTCCTAACATGATATCAGAGTCATGTCCTTAACTTAGCTCGGTCAATAGAATCCTCAAGTGTCGAATAAAGAAGTTATGAGCCTCAAAAGTATAGTCAAAGGTGACTCAATTGTCAAACAAATGGTGTACTTTGTTCGAGAACTCCAAAGAAGGAGTCGAGCCTCGATCAAGAGGAGGTTGTTCGAGAGCTCTAGAGAAGGAGGCCTCATGGGCAGCTCTATCGTGTACTTTGTTCAAAGGAAGGATTGTTGAGGATTATGGAGAGAAATAGTCTCAAAGATTGAGATCATGAGTTTATAAGTAAGGAATACTATCTGTATTGGGACAAGGCTTTTTGGAAAAACCAAAAACAAAGCCACGAGAACTTATGTTCAAAGTGGACAATATCGTACTATTATGGAGGGTCGTGATTCCTAACAATATTAAGGAGACGTGAACGGGAACTTACAGAGTATTGCGGGAGGGCAGTGGAGGACGATTTGGCAGCGTTAGCTTGATCTCCTTGTCTGGTGGAAGTGAGCGAATGGAGGGTGCCAGGAGCAGCCGGGGGCTGAGTTAAACACACATCCACATTGATAGAATACACATTGATGAAATCAGAGATCTGTTGGGACACCAAATCATCGATTTCTGAACATGCAGCTGAGATATTATTGCCTTTAACAATGGATTCTCTTGTCATTTGGGAAATGCTGCAAACTGTGTTTAGAAGTTTATATGCATAGTCTGAAATCACTCCATGAGACCATAAATATGTGCCTCTTGAATTGAAATCCGTGTTGAATTCCAGCAATGGATTCCCTATCTGAAATTGTTTCGGGTTATTAGTTTTATTAATACCGTTTAAACTGAATATTAAGAAAAATAATACTAACCGCTATAGCCTTGAGTCTAATATTGAGTTTCGATTTAAGGATTAGGCTTGCTAGTTGTGGAACGTAATGGCCTGCGTAGCTCTCTCCTGTGATGTACAAATCTCGAGTTTTGTATTCTGGGAATTTGTCCAACCATCGCTCGAGGAAAACTAAGTTGTCTTGTGCTGCAATCACCCAAACCATATATTTGATCATTGAATCGTCTCAAAATTTACATAAACTTGTTGAGGATTATGGGAGAGAGTCTCACATTAGCTAATTAAGGAAATGATCACAGGTTTATAAGCCGGAAATACGTTTCCATTGGTATGAATTCTTTTGGGGAAACTAAAAGTAAAGACATGAGAGTTTATGCTCAAAGTGAACAATATCATACCATTGTTGAGAGTCATAATTCGTAACCGAACTTACCTGTAATTTTGTCGTTAACGGTGTCATAGAATGAAGTGTTTTCAGAAAACGAGAAGCCAACTCCCGCCGGAGCTTCGAGATATAATATATTTGCCACTGTATCAAATGATTGGTACGTTATTGAATCCATGCATTTCCAAAACACGAACAAAATTAATTCTCTACATGAACACAAACCATTGTTCCAACTAAATTGATTGAGAATCAAAACGTCCCCCTTGGGTCTAAAAGGGCCATGCTCAGTAAGAGCTCCAGCACCAAGAGATGAACAACCAGGGCCTTAAAAATGAAACAAAAACACATCACAACGCAAAATTCGAACCTAAAAATGGCATGATGAAGAAGAAATAAGCTCAAAACTTTACCTCCATTGAGCCAAAGAACAAGAGGGCGTGAATAAGGATCCGTTTGGGCCTCAACAAAGTAGTAGAAAAGAGATCTATTTTGGAGTTCATCAATGCTAATATATCCACCAAATTGTCGAAAGCTAACACTTGGTTGGCCTGGTAAGCTCTTGATGAAATCGCCACCATTGAAACACTCTCCAAATTCAAACCAAATTTGGATCAAACCAACCAATGCAATACCTTTCAATATCCATTGCTTACAAGAACAAGGCTGCATTATTCTCTTAGATTAATTACACACTTTCTTTGCCTCATCACAAATGTTCTTATTTGCCCATCTCTTTATATACTCATAAACCTTGTTGTTGCTGCCTTAGCTTGCTTGGATTATACCCACAACCCTTTTGTTGGTGGCATCATCAATATTTCTTCCAAATATTCAGACATTCTTCAGGAAACATCAACATATGTATTGCAGCCGCCGTTGGCCGGCAATGCTATTTGCCGTTTATGAACATAAATTTATGTTAAAAACAGCTGGAAGTTAAGTCTGTATGTCTGTCGTGTTGTAATGAACTGAGTTGTTTTGTTTTATTTGGATTTATGTATTGGGGAAAGTCTTAAGTTCAAGAGGTATTGTTCTTTGAACAATGTGGCTCCATATCATCTTTAAATTTCTTGAAAACACAAACTTGTGCACAAATGAACGTTGAATATGAACTTTGTGATTTATTTACCATTTATTATTCAAATTGAACATGCAATAACAATTTCAAGAGAATAACATCTATCAAATCTTCAATGTGAAAGTTAGGCCAAGAGGATTTCAATAACCAAAGAGTACGGAATTGATAATAAACATATTGAGAAGGGGTATAATGATTAGGGCGTTGACTTACAATGATGCGGGTTATGTTGAGCACTCAATGCCACTTTTACGAGTTTTCATCATCCTCTATAGTGTCATCCGATATTTGTAACAACCCACTTTTTCAGGTTTTGAATCATGGATCGCCACGTATATTCAAGGGTGACATAAAAGAATTTAAAAGTATCAAACCATGTCCGTAGAGGCGTATCAAGATACTTTTAAAAAAACACGTTTCATGAAAGCGACATTTATAATAATATTAAAATGATCCAAAGGAAAAAAAGAATAACAAGAATGAGTATAAAAATATTTAATAAGTACCTACTTGTACACTCTCATCGATGCACTAGTTGTACTAGGATCATTTCTAGTCCTATCAGGTAGAGATGTGTCACAACCCAATTTTCGAGGCTTCGAACCTCGGACTGTGACGAAAAGGACGAAAGCGAAAATAGACAAAAATAAAAGATAAAAATCTCATAAAATTTTTAAATTTGAACAAAGACAAGTTTAATGTTTCAAATATTACAAAGAGTACAACTATAAAAGAGAATACAAAAGACTCCAAAACAACTGAAGAGTGACGCTCCAAAACGACCCCCTCTATAATGGCACAACTCTCAAACGTTCCTCCACCTCAACCGGCAGCCTGCGAACACTTGAAAAAATGAAAAAAAAAGTAGGATGAGTATAAAAATTATACTTAGTAAGTCACCTACTCGTAGACTCTCATCGCATTCTAGGCTTAATAGATTCTCATGGGCATCTCATTGGCTCTAGGACGTCTGGTTCTGATCTTATCCCCTTAGGACTATTCTGGTTCTCTGTCCTTTCATTTAAACCCTAGGAGTTCCTTATGTCGAGCTATGAATGGCTGGTGTCTCTCTACGCGATGCTACCTCATACATGGCTATCTAATACTATATGGTACCTTACCTAGTAGTGTGTTGAGTACCTCCTAGGTTCATGATAGTCCACCCTCATGGGGGCGCGACCCCTCCCTTATCCCATGCAACTAATGGGTTGTACGACCAAAGCCAAAGTCTTCTAATCACTTTCCAATGTCAGCCACTCCATTATTTTCTTGATTTGATATATGCTAATGCTATAAAGATTTTTGGGCTCAAAAGTCTTTGTTTCAACTTGAACACTAGCTAGCCTTTGAAGATGCAATGTATAGGCCTCTTGAATCTTCTTAACCTTGCTTCTTGTAATCGGTCCTTCGAGTACATGCAAAGGATCAGTAGTTGAATTCATATCATCCTCCCTTTCTTTAAAAGGATTTGTCCTCAAGTCAAGGTCTTCATTCCCTACATCAAATGGAGTCAAATCAGCCACATTAAAAGTAGAACTTACATTGTACTCACCTCTGATCGTACTCACCTCTGAGATCTAGCTTGTATGCATTGTCATTGTTCCGCTATAGTACTTGAAAAGGACCATCTCCTCTTGGTTAAAGTTTAGACTTTCTCTGATTTGGAAACATTTCCTTTGGTAGATGAACCCAAACCCAGTCACCTTGTTTAAAAATCAATTTCTTTCTTCTTACACGTGACTAGGTTTTTATTTTTGTTTTCAATTCTTTCTTTTATGTCTTTGTGAATTTTTTTTTTTTTTTTTTAATGTATTCGGCTCTTGAAGAAGCTGCATCATTAGCAAACATATTAGGTAGCAAAGGTGATAAATCTAGAGGAGTTAAAGGATTAAATCCATACACAATCTCAAAAGGTGAACAATGAGTGGTGCTATGTATCGCTCTATTGTATGCAAATTCCAAAAATGGTAGAGTCTCTTCCCAAGACTTAAGATTTTTGGAAATTAGTGACCTAAGTAAGGCTCCTAATGTTCATTAACGACCTCAGTTTGGGAGTGACAAGTTGTAGAAAATAGAAACTTAGTTCCCAATTTTCCCCCACGAAACTTTCCAAAAATGACTTAAAAATTTACATCCCTATCACTAACCGGTTTTGGGAATACCATGCAATCTAACCACTTCCCTAATGAATAGATTAGCTATGTTGGTAGCATTGTCTGTTTTGTTACATGAAATGAAATGTGTCATCTTACTAAACCTATCAACTACCACAAAAATGCTATCACGGTGTCTTCTAGTTTTCGGTAATCCTAGAACAAAATCGATGTTAATGTCAATCCATGGTTCACTAGGAACATCTAAAGGTGTGTAAAGACCATGTGGTTGTATCTTAAACTTAGCCTCCTTACATTTAAAACATTGTTTGCATACTTTGTTCACATCTTTCCTCATTTTCAACCAATAAAAATGTTCACACAACATGCTATATGAGGCTAAGTCTAAGCCCATGAAAAAGCATGTGCAAACAATGTTTTAAATGTAAGGAGGCTAAGTCTAAGACACAACTACAGGGTCTTTACACACCTTTAGATGTTCCTAGTGAACCATGGATTGACATTAGCATGGATTTTGTTCTAGGATTACCGAAGACTAGAAGACACCATGATAGCATTTTGTGGTAGTTGATAGGTTTAGTAAGATGACACATTTTATTCAATGTAACAAAACAGACGATGCTACCAACATAGCTAATCTATTCATTAAGGAAGTGGTTAGATTGCATGGTATTCCCAAAACCATTGTTAGTGATAGGGATGTAAAATTTTTAAGCAATTTTTGAAAAGTTTTGTGGGGAAAGTTGGGAACTAAGTTTCTATTTTCTACAACTTGTCACCCCCAAACCGATGGACATACTGAGGTCGTTAATAGAACATTAGGAACCTTACTTAGGTCACTAATTTCCAAAAATCTTAAGTCTTGGGAAGAGACTTTACTTTTTGTGGAATTTGCATACAATAGAGCGATACATAGCATCATTCATTGTTCACCTTTTGAGATTGTGTATGGATTTTATCCTTTAACTCCTCTAGATTTATCACCTTTGCCACCTAATATGTTTGCTAATGATGCAGCTTCTCCAAGAGCCGAATACATAAAAGAAACATTCACAAAGACATAAAAGAAAGAATTGAAAACAAAAATAAAAAACTAGTCACGTGCAAGAATCAAGGAAAAAAAGAAATTGATTTTTAAACAAGGTGACTGGGTTTGGGTTCATCTACAAAAGGAAAAGTTTCAAAATCAGAGAAAGTCTAAACTTCAACCACGAGGAGATGGTCCTTTTCAAGTACTAGAGCAGATCACTGACAATGCATACAAGCTAGATCTTAGAGTTGAGTACAATGTAAGTTCTACTTTTAATGTGGTTGATTTGACTCCATTTGATGTAGGAAATGAATACCTTGATTTGAGGACAAATCCTTTAACAGTAAGGGAGGATGATATGAATTCAACTACTGACCGTTTGCATGTACCCGAAGGACCGATTACAAGAAGTAAGGTTAAGAAGATTCAAGAGGCCTATAAATTACATCTTCAAATGCTAGCTAATGTACAAGTTGAAACAAATAATTTTGAGTCCAAAAATCTTTATAGCATTAGCCTATCAAATCAGGAAAATAATGAGATGGCTGAGATTAGAAAGTGATTAGAAGATTTTTGCCTTTGGTAGTTGAACTACCAATTAAGACAATTTATGTCATGCCTTATTTTCTTCAATTTGTATTTATTAACTTTTATTGGTAGTTGTAGCTGGTAGATGAACTCCATTATATTTGCGTTATCTTTTTGGCCTATTTAAAGGCATGCAATATTCATGTTGAGAATCAATTGTTGAATACAAACAAAACCTTTGTATTTTCTTGATACCCTTTTGGTGTAATTCTTTTCAAACCTTGCTTTAGGTTTGATGTTTCAACCGATTCATTGGATTAGTTTTGATCAAGCTAATTATCTAGAGTGACCCTAATAGATTTAAAGTTTAATTTATTATTCATCTTCTAACCAGCTCATGGTTGGAATCAATTCGCTAAATTAGCTTTCTTTGTGAAAGTTTACAAGGATTCTAGAAGGACCTCTAGTTTTGCAAAATCCACCATTGTTCGCGCTTATCACATTTTTTTCATTAATTAAGTAATGGTCGACTAAAATATTATTTTTAAAACTTAAAAAAGGCAAAATAAACATCCAATAGACAACAATCCCTACCCTAGAAGACAAAAATTATATTTCGACCAATTTTCAAGCTAAGACTAAAAAATAATAAAATTTGAACCAAAAGGTTGATAAGGAAAAGTGAAGTATTCAAATGTTGGAGAGAAGCGTACCTGAAAATGCAAAACGAAGTTTGGATTAAAAGGCATGCAATATCAGATGCCGTTTCTTACTGATATGTACGCACAATTACAATTCTTTTATTTCCTTGAGTTGATTGATTGGCTGTGTCACAATTTACAAGACAATGGCCTGTGCATGACATTCTGTAACGTCCATCCTCAACGAACCCCACACTCCACTGCATCTCTCCCACTTT